GCTGCCCCTGGGCGGGGCCCCGGGGTGCACACCGACCACTGGCCAGCCGCTGGACCGGCCCCAGCTGGCTCCCCTCTCATCAGCGCTGTGAGGAAGTTACACGTTCCCATTCTGCAGATGAGGAAGCTGAGGTTGGCGAAAAGAAGGGACTTGCTCGAGTCACACAGCCTGTCCTCGCCCAGCTTCTTGCTCTTGCTGGGGCTGATGTCCCTCAGCGCAGAGGAGGCCTTTGCCACCCTCCTGCTCAGAAGGGACTCTGCTCAGGGAAAGAGCTGACCTTTAGCAGGGTGGGGGCTGGGGTCCTTCTGGGAGCTTCGGGGCCCTGCAAGGTTGGGTTCAGCTTGTTAGAGTGGTCCTGCCCTAATAAAAGTCCCACCCACTCCTCCCAACTTTGTTTATGGTGCCTCCACCCAAACAGACTCAAGAGCTTTCTGGGAACATGAGTGGCCAGAAGGCACGATCCCAGACAGAGACCACGGGGGCGGGGGGGGGGTGGCTCTGGGACTGCCGGCACCTATGTACAGATGGGCCTGGCCGCCAGGCCTCTTCGTCCTTCAGCTTGTCGCTCGGTGCCTCCCGCTTCCCAGGGGAAAGAGAGAAACCGCTAGGTTATTGTCTCTCATTGCCTTGAAGGTAAATATTAACAATCACTTCCTGTTGTTCAGAAATGGCCCAGTTTCTGAGACGCTTCTCGTTTATTTGAAAAATAGTCATCAAGTGCTGGCCAAGCGCATTCTGGACAATCCATCCTTGATTTCGTTCAATCCTTAGAATAAACGTCACGAAGCAGGTTTGTTGTCATCTCCATTCCACAGAGGAGGAAACTGAGGCACAAAACATCTAAACAGTGTGTCTCCCAAGAACAAAAATAACAAAACTTCTGTTTCTGGAAAGTCACCTCAGCTGCAGCCACCTGCTCTGATCCCTCGGAGGGCCCCTAGCCCCAACTAGGGAGCTCCTCAATTTTTACCCAAAGTTCCTGAGCAAACTGGGTACCGAACCACTCCCGGGGGTAAAAGCTCAGGAGTCGGGCGGGGAGGGGCTGTGGGGCTAGTCCAGAATGCTCTAGAGCCTGCGGGGTACCCCGCCCAGCTCCTCGAGGTCCCAGCGGCCCTCCCTGGGCAGGTTTGCTGAGGGCGGAGTTGGCTCCTAGCTGGGCAGATGCCCACGGCCGAGCTCAGGAGATTAAGGTTTAGCCCCAGAAACCTGAGATGCGTTCACTCCATGCCTCAGCGCTGGGAGTGTCCCCCTCGGGCATGGCCCTGGGGAGGCCACCTCAGGACAGAGTAGGGAGGCAGCAGGGTGTCACTTGTACCACCCTTGCTGCCGTGGTGATCTTGAGCTCAGGGTCAGAGGCCTGGGCCCCTAGGAGCCTCTGGACAGTGCTACAGCCGTGCACAGCCACTGGGCCTCCCCTTTTGGGGGCTGCCCTTTAGCTTGACATGGTCTTTGGTGGCTGCTAATGCCTCGAGTGATGCAGCCAGCTGTGGAATTCCCGACCAGTGGGAGCCACTCTGCCTCTGTGAGGCAGTGAAGGGAGCCTTCTCTGTTATTTCCCAGGCTCTGAGCACCTCCAAAGGGTCCACAGTGGGTTTCAGGCCTCTCAGAGTCTGCAGTCGTGTGTGTGAGTGTGCGCGTGTGTGTATCCCAGTGATGGAAGCAGTGCTGGGAAACCTTAGTCGAGTTCTAGGTGTGGTCTGCTGTCAGTGACCACACGTTTCCCAGCCATGCGCCTGCTTGTCGTTGCTCTTCCGATAATGATAGCAGCCGTGGCCTCGGAGGGTCCACTGGGCTCCCTCGTCTGGGGCTCAGTAGTTAACTCTCTGGGAAAGTCCGGAGTCCTTTAACCCCAAGGACTGGGAGACCATCTGCCCCTGAACTGCCTTCAACCTCCCTGGGCCTCGAGCTGTGTTTGTATGTGGAGTTCCTGGGAAGGCAGGCCTGATGGAGGCTTCAGAGGGTCTAACTCCCAATTCCCAGGGCCAGACTCATCGAGAGCGGGGAGGGGCATGGGAAGTCTGGGGGAAGAAGGTCTTGCTTCCAGTTGTCACTAAATGGAGATAATCCCACCCAGCTTTCATGAGTGCTGACGGTGTTCCAGCCCCGTGCCCAAACCTCTCGCTCTGTCTCACTTACAATAGTGGTAACAGTGGCTAGTGAGCACATCCTACAGGAAGGGGGACTGAGGCACAGAGGGGCTGTCTCTTCCCGTGCACACAGCTCACCAGCAGTTTTTCTCGGTGCTGGGGCTTTGTACTGGGCTCCTCTCAGTGCTTCTCAAAGGGTGATTCTGGTGCTGGGGCTCTCAGGAAGGTGCTCATCAAAACGGAGGACCTCTGGACCACGCAGAGGGAATCCGACCTGAGAGCCAGCATTTTTGCCGAGGTGGTCCACGTTTCTAGGCCCCCCTTGCAAGTTCCTGATGAAATAACTTTCAGCTAAGGAGCTGGTGGGAGGACCAGGCAGAGCAGGGAAGGTGCTCCCTGCTGGGTTTACAGTGTACGGCTGCGGGGAGCAGGAGGTGGCTGGGGCCCCAGCACCCCTGGCTCTTCCCTGCCACGGCCTGCAACCTCCTTCCTTGTGGACATCCTGTGATCAGGTGAGGGGCAGGGGGGACATCTGAGTGGAAAAAGAGGGAGGGCACTGGGGGTGAGAGATTTAGTGAGGGGGGGCCAGGAAGGCAGGTCCAACATCGGTTAGACCTACGTTCTCTTCCAGAGGGAAAGCCCTACAGGTTTCTGTAGAGGAAGCGCATGGCGAAGGCTCGGACCAACTGGGCAGTGGGATCAGGGCTGAAGGCCCAGGCTCGGGGGCTGCAGGACCCCTAGGGAGGGAGAAGAGGCAGGATGAGTGAGACCTTTGGAGACTCATGAATGTCGAGGGGCTGGTGGGATGTGCTAGGAGGTGCGTCTGAAACGTGGGGCAGGAGGAGGTGGGCTGCGGGGACGCCATAACACGAGTTTTTGTTGAAAGAAAGCACGTTGCAGGGCGGGCGCAGCGCCTGAGACCCAGCTCCCTCGGACTCCTCCCTGAGGCCGGTCTCCCGACTGTGAAATGGGCTCCGGGTTCCGGGAGAGGAAGGTGCTCCTGGGAGCCCTCCCGCTGCGTTTCGGATGGGTGCGTGGGTCGCCCCATCCGAGCGTGTCCGTCCAGCGGCGGAGCAGGCGGGCGGCGGGGGCGGGCCTGCCCCCTAGCGGCGGACCCGGGCGGGGCGCTCGGGTCACCGACTGGAGGGGTGACCCGGCGGGCTGCGGGCGGACCAGATGCTGGCCGTGGGCCAGTCTAGTCCGACCGCTCCTGGCTGTCCAAGCGCTCCGCTGCCTCTGTCCGTCGGGGGTGTTCCCGGCCCCTGGATCTCGCGGGCCGCAGACCGCATGGTAGGTGAGCGGGATGCGGCCTGGGACAAGGGCGCGCCGCGGGCGAGGACTTGGGCGAGACCAGAGAGGAGCGCGCGGGCTGCATCTCCCCAGGGCGGTAGAGGTCGGAGGCTCCTGTTGGGCGCCCCCACCTCCGGAGATTCGCAGCCTCCCAGGTTATTCGTCTCATTGCACGCCATGCAGACCCTTCTCCGTGGTGTAGGGAGCCTCTCTTGACCCTTGGTCTGCACTGCACGGTCCCAGCTCATCCCCGTGGTATGTGGGCAACTGGAGGCTCCAGGCCCCCCACTGAGGAGAGGAAATAGGGCTGAAGGAACAGGGGGAAGATCCGGGAACTGAGCCTGAAAATCTGGCTGCTCCGAGGAGGGGTTGATGCGGGGGTGTGCTTGGGGAACAGGCTCAGGAGCAGTCTGGGCTGGTAGGTGAGCCACCCCCTCTGCCCTGGACTGCCCTTCCCCCTCCACGTGGGGAGAGAGGGTCAGACAACTCTCTGCACTGAAACTGGGCACCCTAAATGCACCCAAGTGTTCCTGAGAACTTTGAGTGAAGTCTCTCATTTAACCTTCCCAGAAACTATAAGGTAGGCTCTGTCTGACACCCCCATTTCACAGATGAGGGGACTGAGGCACAGAAAGGGGAGGGCACAGCTAGAGCTGGCAGAGCTGGCACTGGATCCCGGGCTAGGTTGTTTAGCAATGGCCTCCGTTCTTAATCCCGGTGCACGGAGGACAGGTAGGGATGGGCAGCCTGAGAGAGGGGAGGAAACCCAGAACCAGCAGCGTTAAAGACTGTATTTCCGCCTCTAACAAACAGTTCGGGCGCTGGAAGACAGAAACAAGAGCCAACTTTCGGATCAGTGTTACAGTATTTATTTAGCCCTCGATCCCCTCGGTGACTCAGAGGTGCTGATAACCTGGCCCTTCTGTGTGTGGGGCAGGCCCTGTGTTAACACCTGTCATGGATTAAATGCCCTCAGACCTTGTAATAAGGAACAGCTGCAGAGAGGTTACCAGGCAAATGGTCTCACCCAGCCTGGGAGTGGGGAGGCTGGATTTGAACCCAGGCAGTTGCTTCCAGAGTCCTGTCTTTAAAGACGACATGATATTGCACTGTGTCCATCTTCCTGATGCCCAAACGGAGCACCTGTCCCAGCGTCTGTGGCTTGAAAAGGGAGAGCTCCAGGGGGTCTCCTGACGGCAAAGCCCGTGCTCCAGAGGGTTCATCATTTAGTCGAGGGGTTTCATAGATTGTGAAGTTTAAATTTGAAGTCCCCTTCTTATCATTAAATTTTTTTAATCTGTTGACTTTTTTAGAGAGAGAGAAAGGGGGCAAGACCACGAGAGAAACATCGATTTGTGGCGCCCCCATTCTTGCATTCACTGGCTCTTGCAGATGCCCTGACCGGGCACTCAACCGGCAACCTTGGCGCATCGGGAAGGCACTCCCATCAACTGACCTACCCGGCCAGGGCCACATTTTATCATTTTAAGATGCACATTCTAACGTCTCTGAAGTTGTGGTGCATCTCCCAGTGGATGGCAGAGGTTTTTCTTTCCCAGTAGCACGTAAAGTGACCGCGCTTTTGGTGTTTTGGATTATGCAGAGCCGGGGTTCTCTGCGTGACTTTTCTGGGTGTCTCTGTCTTCTGTTCCAAAGGTTTCTTTCCGCCCTAATTGTTCCATCTTCCCTGGAGACATGTCCCCTAGGAATACAAGCAGCCCAGCATCCTGCAATGGCAGTAGGGCCTGGAAGCTCTCTGACCCCAAGGACTTGAACCTGACTGACAAGGAGCTGAGATTCAAGTACCTGGAGCCCCAGCAGACGGAGCTGTTCATGCTCATCTGTGTCACATACCTGGTGATTTTCGTGGTGGGCACCCTGGGCAACGGGCTGGCCCGCATGGGCACCCTGCGCCACAAGACCATGCGCACGCCCACACCTACCACCTCTTCAGCCTCGCTGCGGCGGACCTGCTGGTGCTGCTGGCGAGCCTGCCCCTGGAGCTCTACGCGATGTGGTGTAACTACCCCTTCTTGCTGGGTGCTGGTGGCTGCTACTTCTGCACACTGCTCTTCGAGACAGTCTGCCTGGCCTCCGTGCTCAATGTCACCGCCCTGAGTGTGGAGTGCTATGTGGCTGTGGTGCACCCGCTGCAGGTCCGGTCCACGATGACTCGGGCCCACGTGCGCTGCATACTCGGGGCCATCTGGGGCCTTGTCGTGCTCTGCTCTCTGCCCAACACCAGCCTGCACGGCATCCAGCAGCTGGTGGTGCCCTGCAGGGGTACGGTGCCCGGCTCGGCTGTGTGCACACCGGTCCGCCCAAAGGCCCTCTACAACCTGGTCATCAGATCACCACTCTGTTCTTCTGCCTGCCCATGGCCATCATCAGCGTGCTCTACCTGCTCATTGGGCTGCGGCTGTGGCGTGAGAGGCTGCTAAAGCTTCTCAGGCAGAGATACCGGGGCAGGGACAGGGCCAGCCGCAAGCTCCAGCCACCACAGGACAGGAGTCGAACACAGGTGACCAAGATGCTGTGTAAGTGTTGCTCCTGGGAAGAGGGGCTGAACCAGGCACAGGGCATGAAGGTGGGGCTTCCGGGGCCCAGGGGCAGGGGCTGTGTCTGGGTTTATGAGTGTGAGGCTTAGAATCACACATCCCACTGTGGTGTGTGTGTGCGTGTGTGTGTGTGTGTGCATGCGTGCATGGATACTCTTTTGGATTACTGTTCAAGAAACTCACACCAAAGATAGTTATGGCTCACAGAAGGATGGGCTGCATAATTTGTGGGGCAGAGTGCAGAATGAAAATTCAGATTCCTGGTTCAAAAATTATGAAGAATGCCAAGTCAGCAACAGCAGAGCATTAAAACTTTGAAGCCCCAGGCCCTGTGCATGTGCATGGGTGGTGCACCCATAACACCAGCCCTGGTCGTGGGACCACCACAGATGGGGCGGGGCACTTGGCTGGGCTCCAGGATGGTGGAGGCGTTGCCGGCATCCGGACCCTCCGAGCTCCCATCTCGGCTCCTAAATATGTCTTGGCTCCGTCCTTCCCGACATCAGCCTGGAAGGCAAGGTCACAGGCATAGAGGTCCGCTTCCTTGAGGAAAGGATTCTAAGGGGCGGGGATAGGTCATGGCCCACCTCCAGGCCAGAGTGACAGGATCCTGAAGTGACTAGACTCGCGGAACCACATGGTGGGATCTGGGGGCAGCTGGAGAGACAAGATGATGAATTTCTTCCCTCTATGTCTGCAGTCCCCTGGGGACCGCAGGAGTGGCCATTGTCTAAAAGAGAGTTGTCACCAGGTGTGTCTATGATGGTTGGTGTGCAAAGCATGGGGGAATCAGGGCAGAAGTGTGGGCTGGGGCTGGCCAGGGCCTGCCCTGCTGGAGTGAGGCTCTGGATCTTACTGTGGCCCAGACCTGGCTCTTTTCAAAAATAGTGGCCCTGGGGAAGCAAGACAAACTGATACTAAACCAATCATTGATTCCTGCCCCACCTCACCCCACCCCTCAGGGCCTAAATCAGGCTGGTGGGTGGGGTGAGCCCAGGCAGGACAGGGCTGGTGAGGCCTTGCTCAAAGCCACGGGATTATAAGTAGCTCACTGGGGACTGCCCCATTCCCAGAGAGAGGCCCGCACTCCTGACTGCCCAGGAAGAGTGTCCCAGAGTGCAGTGTCACTGTCATCCCCCGGAGCTCCCTGCTTGCCTCCCAGCTCTGCACTGCGAAGCCTGCACTGCAGACCAATCGGCCCTGCCCACCCTGCCCCTGCCCCAGACTCCCCAGACCGCAGGGTCCAAGTCCGCTCAGCTGGGTGGCTCTCACCCTGGGCAGGTGGGGTGTGTCCTTAAAGCCGCCTTGCCTGCTGTCTCGGGGCCCTGGCTTTCTTCTCTCGCTTTCTCCTTCTACCCCTCTTCCCCCCACCTTCCCTTTCTGAAGGCCTACTGTGCACCAGGCTGTGTGCTGGGGACACTGAAATCTGGGGTTACGAGGAAAACCATGCTGGGGTGAGATGGGAAAGACACTGCAGAGGCAGATAGTCAGCTGAGCTGAGCAAGCACAAGTAAGAAGAAACAAAAGTCAAGGCAGAGCTGGTGACAGAGACCCGAGAAGGTCATGGCTAGTTAAGACTAGGGCTGGAAGGAGGCTGGGAGAGGAGTGCGGGGCTCGGCCAGCCTCTCGTGTCTGTGGCTCAGTGGTGGGCTCCCAAGAAGTAGGCAGTTGGTGCAGCGTAGGACGTTCAGCTGGGCCTTGGAGAGCTGGAGGCTGGGGCTGGGAGGGCTTCTGGGGCCATGGCAGGCAAGGGGGGCTGTGTGTTTGTCTTGCTCTCTGGCTCTTTCCCCTCCCATCTACTGCTGTAGAACGGGCCCATTCTGCTTCTCTCTGCTCATGCATCAGCAAGCATGGTCCTCGTAGGGGCGCCCAGAGTGGGTTTTAGCTGTACAGTCTGAGTCACGCTGGGGCTCGGTATCCACAGCTAAGAGTCACCCAGTCCCAAGTTTCATGGCAAGGCCATGGAGCTGGGCTGGCTTGGCTCAGGTGTCCGCACCTGGTCCAGTCTGTGACAGTGGTGAGAGCAGCGTCTCCAACAGGAGTGCAGCCAAACTTCCAGAAACTTCCATATGGTCAGTGGGCATGGGGGTGCCCACAGAATGGGAGAGGAGGTGAGGAGGAGCAGGGAAGGCAGCAGAGGGGGCTCTGGCGGGCACCCAGCCTCCTTTCTCTGCCCCCGCAGTCGTGCTGATGCTGGTGTCCGGCGACTGCTGGGCCCTGTCCCACGTCGACTGCCTTGTGCGGAGCTTCGTGTCCGAACGGACCGACAGTCTGCACCTGCGCACACGTCGTCTCTGGTTTCGTCTTCTACCTCCTCTCGGCCACCAACCCCATGCTCTATAGCCTCATGTCCACCTGCTTCCAGGACACCTTCTGGGAAGCCCTGTGCTTGGGGACCTGGTGCCACTGCCACAGACTCCGCAGCAGCTCCCACAGCCTCAGCCAGGTGAGCATGGCCAGCACCCTGTGACGTGGGCTTCCTGGGCAGCAGGCCCAGCCTCTGGCAGAGAACTGTGGCCCTGGGGCAGCAAGAGACTGACCCCCTCCGCAGAGGAGCCTCAAAGCGGCTTCACCTGGAGGAGCCAGAGGGCCATGTGCCGCTTGCCCTCCTCTGCAGGGATGTCCCCCTGTCTTCATGTCCATCCCCGTGTGCCCCGTCCCCACTGCGGCCACCTCAGTGCTGCTGCCTCCACCATGTACCAGAAGGTCTGCCCTCCAGACCCCCATTCAAGTCCTTCCCTGCAGGACCATCGCAGTGGGTTCACTGGCACAGCAAGTTTTCATCCAGGACATCCCCACTCCCGCCACCAGATTTCTGAAATGTTTCCCGGGGGCCCTGCCTTTCCTTTGCATTTTTGTCGCTATCTAGCTTCCAGCTTCCACCTGGGACCCTTCTCTTACCTGACCCTGCCGCAGCCCCAAGTCGGTTTATTGTCCTCCGGGATGTCCACCTGGTGGCACTGCTGGGTGGCAGGGCTGCCGGTGGTCTCTGGGGACCTGGTTCCAGTCTCGCCCCTGTTGCCACCCTGCTGCGTGGCATCAAGCAAATCACTTCGCCTTCCCAGGCCTTTCCAAGTGAGCACCACACTTTGATACTTTAGCTGTGTTCTCTGTGCTTGTGCCTAAGTCACTGCTGTAACGGAACCCACTGATACCCTCAGGTTATCAAGGCAGAAATCGCTCTCTGCGTCCTCATCCAGTCCCGCCCAGACCTCCACTGCGCACCTCCCCAAGCCCCCTTCTGGGGACTGGTTGCACAGCAATGGGAATACACTCCAACAATGTTGAACTGCACGCTTAAATGGTTAAGACGGTAAATTTTGTTGGGTATATAACCTCGATTTTTTAAAAGAAAAAATTAAATCTAAAGGAAAAGAAATAAAAAGCCACCTAGAACTTTACTCTCCAGAGGTCACCACTGTATATAAGAGAGGACGGGGGCGGGGTGTTCTTTGGAGAAAGAGGCATGAGCTGAAGCTGTGCAGAGCTGTGAGCACTCAGTGCTGCTGCTGAAATGACCTCCCAGGGAGCCTGGGGTGGCGTGTGGGGGGCTGGCCGGGCCCCATACTTAGGCTGGAGCCTGCAGTTCTTCCCGAAGGCTAACTTTGGGCTCCTGGGGGGCTCTTTTTTTTTTAAATTTTTTATTTATCTTTTAGAGGGGAAGGGAAGGAGAGAGGGAGAGAAACATCAATGTATGGTTGCCTTTTCGTGTGTCCCTTGCTGGGAACTGGCCTGCAGGAAACTGGCCTGCAACCCAGACATGTGCCCTGACTGGGAATTGAACTGCGATCGTATGGTTCGCAGGCCCACGCTCAATCCACTGAGCTACACCAGCCAGGGCCCTCTTTTTTTTTTTAATTAAAAAATATCTGTTGCCTTAAGAGAGAGAGAGAGAGGAAGGGGGAGAAAGAGAGAGAGAGAGAGAGAGAGAGAGAGAAACAGCAGTTCATTGCCTTCCACATGTGCCCTGACTGGGGATTGAACCTGCAACCTAGGTGCCCTGATCAGGAATCGAACCCCTAACCTTTTGGTGCCCAGGATGACATTCCAACCAACTGAGCCACACTGGGCAGGGCCTACAAGCCTCTTAAGTGAGAGATGACTCGAGCTCCCAAGGAGCTTTGGTCAGTGTGTGAAGGACCTACTGTGGGCAGAGAGGTGCTGGATAGACTGGGGAAAGCGAGGGACGTGAGGTATCAGCAGGCATGTGTTCCTAGTGTAAACTCCGTGTGTTCCCTGCAGTGTCTCCACAGCTTGTCAGTGGATGGGTCATACCCGTCATAGGTCACTGGTGACCCTGGAAAGTGGGAACAGCAGCTCTCGGCTCAGCCCTTGAGGAAAACGGGTGGAGGTGGAAACGGCAGCCAGCCAGATCCTGCTCTCTGGGGGGCACTGACTCTTGTGCCCTGCTCAGGGCAGGGGCAGCATTCCTGATCCCCCAGGGCTGGCTCCTGTCACCCACACCCCTCCTCCTCCCATTTTCAGGACTTTGGGTCCTCTCTACTTCCTGTCTGCTCCACTCCTGCCACTTACCTGGGTGACCTCAAAGTCCACTCGGATGGCTGACTGCTCTGGTATTAGCTCCTGATCTTTCCTGCAGCCGTGAGACCCCTGTGTCACATCCTCACGGCCGGCACCTCCAGACGAGCTTCCCCTTCGGACAGGGTGAACTCTAGCCCAGAACCGCCTCCTTCCTGCCCTGACCGTGTTGGCCCCGTGACTGACGTATTCTTCATCCCCTTCCAGCCTCCCTGGTCCTCCACTGCTCCGCTTTCTCCTAACCTCTCCGCTTCCTCTGACCTTCACCTCCTTTCTGTTGGGTCCTTGGGCCCACGGTCATCACACACAACCCTTTCTGCCAGTGTTTCTGAGGGTCAGGGTGAACATACTACAATCACCGTTTCCTCCTCAGAAAATAGGATTCTTTTCTTTGGACATTCGAAGTCCAAGATCGGTCTTATGAACAAACAGAGCTGCATTTGCCCACCCCTCCTTCTGTTGTGACTGCTCAGGCAATGTCAAAGACAGCCCTTCACACCTATTGTTGCTTAGACGGTATTTCCAAATCCATCTGACATGTGGGAGCTCATCTCCTTTAGTACATTTCTCAGTCTCCCCTTCCCCATTCTTGTCTTTAAATTTTTTATTTACTTTTATTTATTGTTTTGTTGTTCAAGTACAATTTTCTGCCTTTTACTCCCACCCCAGCCCTCCCCACCTCCCTCCTGTTTCCACGCCCCCCTCGTTTTTGTCCATGTGTTCTTTATACTTGTTCCTGTTATTTATTTACTTTTAGAGAGAGGGGAAGGGAGAGGGAAACATCAGTCAGTTGCCTCTCACATGCCCGCTACCCGGGACCTGGCCCACAACCCAGGCATGTGCCCTGCCTGGGAATGGAACCTGCAACCCTTCGGTTCGCAGGCTGGTGCTCAATCCACTGAGCCACACCATCCAGGGCCCATTCTTGTCTCTAGTGGATCCACCAAGTTTTCTTTGTCCCAACTGTTCCTGTAGAGAGGAGTTGCCTTCGTGGGGGGTGGAGGCACCCTAAGATTTGAACTCCCTTTCCGTTAAGGGGAATCCCTCAGTGAATGGCACCACAGAGGCTAAAAGGGTTCCCGACATTCTCCACTGCTGATTTCACTGTGTGGCCCATAGCGGGCACACAGCCAGAGGGATGACCTACATGGGACTCCTACCTAGAGCAAGTGACACCAAGACCCATGATAACAGGGGCAGACGTGCCCAGGGCAGCAGCATCCTGCTCAGGCTACTGCTGGGGATTCCTTTCTGCCTGTTTTCTTGATATTCTGAGCCTTTCAATAAATTGCTTTTCTGCTTTGGTTGGCCAACATCGTTCACTGTTGTCTGAAACCAAGAACTTAGATCCACCCATCCACTAGTTTGAAGATTACACATTGTTTGCCTTGTTACAATTGATCTTTACATATTTCTAAGATAAGCAGATGTTATCATTTATTTTTTTAAATCCCCAACTGCAGTCTATAATACTTAAGCATTCTTACTGTTTCTGTTTTTAACTCTTTTTTTGGAGGGGGGTGAGGGAAGGAGAAAGAGAAGGAGAAAAACATGGATGTGCAGGAGATATTGACCATTTGCCTTTTGCATGCCCCCAACTGGGGACCTGGCTTGCATCCCAGGCATGTGTCCTGACTGGGAATCCAACCAGTGACCCTTTGGTTTGCATCCTAGCACTCAGTCCACTGAGCCACACCAGCCAGGGCAATATCTTGTCTTATAAAAGAATATGAAAATATGCAGGCAAACCATTCTTCCTAATTCTCCTTCCTCCCATTTGGGACTTTCTGAAGCTAGGACTAGGGCAGAACTACCCTCCCTTCCCCATCCTCCAAACACACATATCCCAAAGGATGCTTTTTCAAATCTCAATGTGGGGACAATTCCTAGGCTTTTGATCCTACTGCTGAGCCTACTGTACTACTGGTCAGTAAAGGAGCACATTAATTATGATTTCACTCGAAACTAGGAAATGATATTAAGTAATTGAGAATGCAAATCAATGGCTGTGGACAAGTTCCTTAACTTTTGTGAGCCTGTTCTAAGTGTGAAATGAAACTACTAATAACATCTAAGACACAAGTTTACTTTGAGAAGTCCACTTCTTAAAAGAAGTTTCATCTTTTAAGATATGAAAAAGCTACCAATACCACAGGTATTAATGTGTTCTAGCTATCACTAACAGTTACTATCACTAACAGCTTTGATGACAACCTCAGATGCTGTTTGGAGCCAGAGCCCGGAGTCACGTGGCCGTCCTTTCGGTCCCACAGCCCCGGGTTGTGGTCTCCGTTCTGCCTCGCGTTGCAACATCCGTTATCTTCCCGGGTGGGAAATCACGCTAGTACCAACACATACGCCACTGAGAGTGGCGGCCTACCGAGGTCAACGGATGTGAGCGCCTGGAACCGACCCTCGCTCAAGAGCCCACAGTGCTCGGCTGTTTTTATGACGGCCATTTTACCGCCCCACCGGTAGTGCAGTGTCGCTCTGCGCGACCGCCCACCAGGGCCCCTAACTTGCCAGGACCTGCGCCTCTCTCCCGGCTAAGTTTGGGGGGGAACCCTAGCAACCGCGGCCGCCCCCACGCGGACCAGGAATATAGGTCCGACACTGCACCACCTGAAACTACGCTTCCCACCCAGGGCTCAGTCACTACGTGAGGCTCCGACCCCAGACCTCGCCCCCTTTCTGGAGTCGCGGCTCGGGATTGGCCCAGAGGCGACGCGGACTCTGATTGGCCGAGGGAGTAAGGAGGGTGATGTAGTTTTCCCGGCTGAGTTCTGCCAGAGTGTGTAGTGCGGGGCTGTTGCGGGTGTGCCGTGGCTCCTCTGTAGGCGCCTTGGGGCCGCTGTGAACTCCCCCCGGGCGTGCCTGCTGTGGGCGGACCCTACACCCACGTAACCTTAAAAGGCGAACTGGTCAGGAACG